GAGGAAAGAGAAGAAAAGTGAAAGTAAGATACGTTTGGTCGCCAAATTTACAATGGTAAAAGAATAAAAAAAAACAAAGCATATATTTTGTGTGTGGGTGTGGGTGTGCTTTTTTTTTCTGTTCTTTTTTTTATCGTAAAAAAAAAAAGCGAGTGGCTCGTGATTTGCCTTATGAAAGAGCCAGTCACTCAGGCTTGGAAAGCAAAGAGTGCGTAGAAGAAATGTACAGAAAAATGACCATGAAACCAAGATACTTCGTCGACTTCTGCATCTCAAAATCTCCGGGGGTACAGCTTTTGTTGGTTTTTACTGATCACTGCAAACTAGCCCTCTCCCCGAGGATTTGCTTATCCCCACGAGAACGCAATATTATTGGCCAATCCGTTATCCGACCGCCTTTCGCGGCAATACAGCCTCTTACTTTTTATGGAATTGAAGGCGGGCCCAAGCAAAGAACTGGTTCAATGAAAAGCCTGCACCGAGAAGCGACGGTAGAGAGAAGACCTCGTTTAGGAACAGCCTGCTTGTCAGATAGAGGCTTTTAATTCGTTCCCAGCTTGAAAATGGCACCTCCCTAACATACTACTTACACATGAATACCTCCCCACCCCCGATTTCTCCCGCCATGCGCTCCTATATACAAATGTATACAAAGTAAATCTGCAATGTAGTATGTAAGCATGCTTTGGTTATAGTACACTACCTTGCCTGTGGTAGATATAGATGTTTCGTCCTCATTCCTATATATACATGTGTACACACATTTACATATCAGATTTGTACTTGAATATTTGCAAGGAAAGTTAGCCACACAGTTGAGAGTGGAGAGAGAATGCTTTTCAGTAATTCTATAAATCTAATATTCATATTTACAGTACATATGAAAGAAAAGGAACATAAGAGAGGAAGAGATGAAAGTAAGAAAGAGGAGGAGGGAAGAAGATAAAAGGAAGAATAGAAAGGGAGAGTAACGTAAGTTAGGATGAGAGAGGACTAGAAAGAAAGCAAAAGGTGAGAAAGAAAGAGAGGTGAAAATAATTGAGAAGGAGAGGGAGGTGAAAAATAGATGATGAGAAAGAGAGAGAAAAACGAAAAAAGAGAAGGTTAGAGAGTGAGAGAGAGAAAGAGAGAGAGAGAGAGAGAAAAGGTGAGAAAAAGGGAGAGAGAAAATAAAAAAGAGAAAATGAGAAAGAGACGGTTAGAGTGAAGGGGATAAGAGAATTTGGCTAGAGGGAGGATGAAAGAGAGAGGGCGAATAAGAGAAGGTGAAAGTATGAGAGAGAGGTAGTAAAAGAGAACATAAGAAAGAGAGAGCTAAAAAGACAAGGTGAAAAAAGAGAGAATGATAGAAATTGATTGATATCGTATTAATAATACTTTATTAGAGAGTGAGTTTTAGCCTAAAATATTTTTCCTTTTCACTTATCTTTTGTTAATATTGACGCTATTATATATATATATATATATATATATATATATATATATATATATATAACAAGTACTCTGTCTAGCTGCCAAAGTATTTACCTACAACATACCTTAAATTTCGAATTTTTCTCTCTATCTTAGTTCATTATGTTATATGAATATTTCGAGGTATCATAATTTATTACTTCTTTACACGCGTGTGCGCACACACGTGTGCTTCGAACTATTTCTATGAAAATTCCACGGAAATTTCAAGCAGATAGACTTAGATAAAGGGATTTATCGAGGATTTTGTAATCGGCTTACATAGACGCATCTTACGTATGATTAATGATGTTAAAAACCCTATCTATCCAGAGGTTCATATGTTTATATAGAAATTTATTTAAAGAGTGTGTGCAAAGTTCAATTTGAATCTATTGTGGAATATTCTTGAAATATATAGTTTTTAAGCAGGAACAGCCTGTTTCTATGTTTGCTTCACTAATTCTCTGAAATTACACGCATTGGACATGTGTGTGTGCATCACTATTTTTCAGCAACTGAATTATTACATTTTGTACGCTATATTGACTATTACCTATATTACATTGAGTCCTATATATTTTACTACGTTAGCGTCTTTATCTATTTATTCATCTATACAGTATTTCCCGGCATATTACACACACCTGTAAATTGGGAGGTAATATTTCGGAAAAAATAAATTGAAATGTAATTATGACATTTGTGTATAATTGTTTTACTTATTATAACAATACTTTGATTTTATAATCATATTATATATATATATATATATATATATATATATATATATATATATATATATATATATATATAATTCTGAGATCAAGAAACTAGTGTGTTAAATAGGGACATTTTGTAATTTAACCAAACCTAAATAAGACACAGGTAATTCTTTAGGAAAAAGTGCGCGTTATATGATGAGAAATAAGTACGAGTACGCATGTAGTGAAGCGAAAAGGATGGTACATTATATATATATATATATATATATATATATATATATGATGGAATGAAGGGAAAATGAAGGATAGATAGATAGATAGATAGATAGATAGATGATAGATAGATAGATGTGAGTTTTTGCATACATATAATGTACTATATTTTTGCATGTTCTGTTTTTGTTTATACAGTATATATTTATGTCATATCGATAGAGGCATTCTCAATAGACGACCTCTTTACATGTATTCGTAGATAGATATATATATATATATATATATATATATATATATATATATATATATATATACCTAATACATGTGAATATGTATATTATCTAGATATAGTAGGTATAACTTAATTAAACGCCCTTGAAAACGCATCTTTTTCACTGTTTGACAAACTGTTCACATTTTAGCATATAGAGAATTAACTTTTAAAACTCTAAGCGAAAGCATGTTAGACTGAAACGAGTGATTCGTAAGTAGACAAGACTCCTATATAAATGTAAGTATGAATGTATTATAACTTGAATATGAATTTAAATATAAACAGGTTATCAATATAATCAGGTAAGCAATTTTTCATACGTTTTAGATGTCGGAATGTTAAATTTCTTTTCCTGCTTTTTTTTTTTTTTTTGCACAATAAGCACGTATCTAAAACAATACTTGAAATTGAACGTTATTTGAACATTAGAGAAATATTTTCTTTTTATGCTGCATTTAAGTCAGGCATAGGTAATCTTTTCCGAACAGTGGGCTTGAATGAGGCTCATCATAAGGCAGGTTACACGATTAAAAAATCATGGTAATTTTTTGTTAAAGGTGCATCAGCTTTTTTCAATACAGAAGACCGTACGCGTAAGCATTTGACTTAGAAATGTAGATTTTAAATCAACAAATGTTGATTTATTTTATTTTGGAGGGATAAAAGATTCTTCCAATATATATATATATATATATATATATATATATAAAGTTGAAATTTTAATATATTATAACTAATGACAGTATGTTTAACAGCCGCGTGTGAATTGTTTCTAATTTGTCCATTTGAAAATAAAAAAAATAATTTTTTTAAATTAAAGAAAAAAAAAAAAAAAAAAAAAACTGCGGAGAGAAAAAATTATGAAGGTTTCCCGTTTTTAAAAGAAAAGATGTTAACATGCATGGTCTTCCTTAGTGAAAATCGCCAATGGTTTAAAATGGTGAAAACCATACCTTCTACGAAAGTTTACAAAATTCAAGAAACGTTATACTTATGTTTATATATATGTTTATGAATGAGAGTGTGTGAGAGAACAAGTGAGAACAAGAGGAAACAAACAAAATTTTAATAAACGTCAATTTCCTAAAGAAATTAAACGCGTCATTGAGAAAGCCAAGCGGGCCGCAATTTGCTCATGTCTGATCTAGGTTTACACAGATTAACAAAAAATCACCTCACCACTGAATTAAAAAATAGACAAAAACTTTATCAATTAAATAGATTAGAAACATAACTACATCATATATATATATATATATATATATATATATATATATATATATATATATATAAAACATATACATACATACATACATACACACACACATCTCATATATACATACATTGTTTAGAAGCATTTTTTAGAAGTGATTCTATGCTAAAATAAAAATAAATAAAATTTGTTTATATATATAATATAAAAATATTTACTTATGCTCTATCCCTGTTTTTTGGGCATTTAACCTATAAATTTAGCATGTCTTTAAACTATATTTTTATCATATATATATATATATATATATATATATATATATATATATATGTGTGTGTGTGTGTGTGTGTGTGTGTGTGTGTGTGTCTGTTGTATATACACATACAGATTAGCTAGATAGCCTTAGCTTAATCAGGCTCGGTGCAAAGTAAATTTATATATTACGGGAAACAAAATAACAATTATACCCTACCATTCATATATTGTTTTCAATTAAATTCCTGATAATCTAAAATGAAGGATATTTTAAAATTAAACTGACAATTCTAATTTAATGGAACTATCGATGCTCACATATAAAAAAAAAATTAAAAGTTTTCAGCTGTAGTTCTTTCTACATTCAGGTATAACCATTTCTGATTAGACCGGAAGAAATGGAAATATAGCTTTATTAAATTGTCATTTGGTCTTTACCGTTTTAATATAAACGATCAACATACATGTATTGAATCTTCTATATTGAATATCCCGCTAAAATGTAAGGCTAGATATTAAAATAATTGAGAAATTATACACCTCTATTCATTCAGAAATACAGAGAAAATACTGTAGTCAAGAAAGAAAATATAAAAGATATAAATAGGATTATTATTATTATTATCATAATCATTATTATTATTATTATTATTATT